AGGTGTTGTGGCTCACACCTGTAATCCCAGCACTTTGGGAGGCCGAGGCAGGTGGATCATGAGGTCAGGATTGAGGCCATCCTGGCTAACAAGGTGAAACCCCGTCTCTACTAAAAATACAAAAAAATTAGCCAGACATGGTGGCGCACACCTGTAGTCCCAGCTACTTGGGAGGCTGAAGCAAAAGAATCATTTAAACCCAGGAAGTGGAGGTTGCGGTGAGCCAAGATTCCACCACTTTACTCCAGCCTCGGTGACAGAGGGAGACTGCATCTCAAAAGGAAAAGAAAACCAAGCCACCAAGACCCAGCCCTGCCAAGGCTCTAGGTGGTCAGGGAGCACAGCAGTGCAGTGGGCAGAGTGAGCCGGCTCTGGTCTGGGTCCTCTGAGATGGGCCAGGGCTCCACACTCAAAGCCTAGGCCTGCTGGTCTGCAGGGTGGGCATCAAGATGGTCATCTGACAGCGTGCGGGGAGGGTGAGGGAGGTGGGATGTGTCACAGGGTAGTGCTGGGCAGCACCAAAAGTATTGGATAAAGGGTCCTTTGAGAAATTAAAATGAAATGCCAAGCCCCCCAACAGACTGAAAAGACCCCCTCTTGGCCAAGGAGACCCCAGAGAAACCTTGAAAGCCGAGTTCTTGGCCACAACAGAACGGGAGGTCAGATACTCCTCGATACATGCCCTCCTGAACCCCTTCCTTAGGGAAGAAAGCCTGCTGGCAGCTAGGGCTAGCCAGAAACCAGCCCTTTTGAAAGATTTCACTGCTGATACCAACCTTCTGATACTGATACCATCTGATGCTGTCCCTGTTTGGCAGTTTTGACACAATAACCGACCATCGTCCCTTCCTGATAAGAAACGGTCAACCACAGAGAGGCAGAGAGGGTCTAGCCAGTCCACAGTGGATGCCCAGTGAAGATACTCAGGTTTTGGCCTTTGAGAGGCTGAGGCAGGCGGATCACGAGGTCAGAACTGAGGCCATCCTGGCTAACACAGTGGATGCCCAGTGAAGATATTCAGGTCTTCACCTTTTGACATCAGAGGGCTGAAAAACGCCCTACGATCACGGTAACGCCACCACTTTTTTGCTCATGTGACTCATGAAGGGGCATGAAGCTCAATTGCACAGATCCCTGTTTCTCCTTTCATGAATACTCATGACTCCTCCTACAGCTTATTAAGTATGTATATTCAGCCACCCTGCTCAACATAAATTCCTGTTCCCTTTGCTCCTCCCTTGAAGCACCTGTTCCTGGCTTCTGGTTAGAAGCTTTGTTTCCCAGCCTGTTAGAATGCCTGCCCTGAAGGCTGCAACCCTTTATGAGAAATAAAACTCTCCTTTCCAAATTTGTGAACCTCATTGTTCTGTTAACGACTTCCTTCCCCATCACTTGCCAGGTGAAGGAAGTCAGATCTGTCCCCTTCCTACCCTCCCCGGCATGCACTCCATTCATTCTTTTACTCATTCATTACTGAGCCTGTCCCATTCACAGGCAGCCCTCTGAAATGCTTGCAATTTCTCTGCCTTTTAAAAATCTCTGTACCTAGCATATCTGTGTCCTGCCCAGAAAACCTTTCTAGGAAAACTCCTACGTATCCTTAAAAACCCAGCCCAGGTGTTTCTTCCCCTTGAAGGTCCCTGAAGGGCTTCTGGTCCCAGGAGCCCTGCTTGCCTCCATTTGGAGAGTTCTCACTTCAAGGCCTTTGCTGCTACTGGGCTCTGCCTGGAGTGCCCTTCCCCGCCCAGCCCAAAGGGCACTGCTCAAATGCCACCTCTCCAGAGTCTCCTCTCTCTCCCCCTCTTAGGACCTGAGCACTTCCTGTCTGCTGTCCTGGGCTCCCCACCTGGCCTTGCCGTGAGCTCTTGGGCAACTAGGATAAAAGAAGTTTCCCCCAGCCCCTAGCTGGTGCTGGGGACGGAGGGCCCTAAGGCAGGGGTCCCTGCTGGTTCAGGTAGGCTGTCTGGGCCAAGTCTTGCTGGTCAAGCTGTCTAGGCCTGTGTGGCCTTGAACAAGTCCCTTCCTCTCTACAAGCCTTACTTTCTCCATTTGCCAAGTAGAACCAATAGATTAGACAGGGATCCATTACCTGGGGGAGGCGAGGGGTCCAGTAATCTCCTAAAATTCCCAGTAGCATGGTGTGTGTGACTGTGAACATGGGTGAGTGTACACTTGTGGAAGTGTGTCCATGTGTGTGAACACGGGTGGCGTGTACACATGTGGAAGTGTGTACATGCATGTGAACACAGGTGTGTGTATACACGTGCAGAAGTGTGTGCCCCTGCCTATATGTGTATTTATATGAGTGCATGTGTGCATGCGTGTTTTGGGGGGAGAGACCATGACTGTTACCAGATTCTCAAAAGGATCCGGCCCCAGGGGGGGAATCCCGGCATGGCCCACAGGAGAGAGGGCTGTGGGCGCGAAGAGCACCCTTCCACCTCCCGCTTCACAGCCCTTGCCTAGCCTGTGTTCTTGCAGTCACTTCCCCATTTGTGAGCAAAGTCAGCTCAGCTCCCTGTTCTGCGCAGACCCTGCAGTGGCTGCCACCTCCACTCAGAAGGAGGCCAGAGACCTGTCGGCCAGGTGCCTCCCTGGCCTCCTCCCCTCTCCTCTCACCCACTGGCATGCTGGCTTCGTTGGTGCTGGCAGTCCCCTCTGCCTGAACGCTCCAGCCCCAGATATCCACAGCTCCTCCTCCTTCCAGCCTGGGGTCTGATCTGGGCCTTTGGGACCACCCCAACTCAGGGATCCCCCATCCCTTCTTTGCCCTTCTTTCTGCCATGGCACATTTCACTTTCCAGCATACTAGGTAATTGACTCATGGATTAAATTTCTTGTGTATATTGTCCATCTCCTCAACTAGAACACAACTGCCACGTTGACAGGGATCTTTGTCCATCCTGTCTCCTGCTGCTGTCTCCCCGGCATCAGGCCCAGCCTGGCTGGGGGGAACACAGGTCGTGGGGTGGGGGGTGTAGAAAGGAGTGCCTGATGCACTTAAGGGAGGGACTAGGCATAGCCAGAAAGTGCTGAGGTGGCTGTGAAAAACGAGGTTGAAGCCAAGGACACGTCTAAGCTGCCCGAATGTCCCAGACGCTGAGAGTCAGACTGAGTGACCTGGTGAAGCTGAGCAGGTGAAGCCACTGTAGCCTGGGGTCTGCCCAGGAAGGTGGCCTGTCAGAGTGGGATTTGGAGCCTAGAGGCCTCAGGGGAACATGCTGAGTCACACCAGTGTCGCCAGCTGGCTTCTCCTTGCTCGGGGCTCTTGAGAGAAGCAGACACGTCCACATGTGTGTGCACAGGACTGGCAGATGGCCACCCAGGCCCGCCGTGCACACAGAGCAAGTCCCCGTCTGCCTGCATGTCCCCCCACTGGAGGCTCCACACCCTGATGTCACATACACGCCTGCACTCTCACACAGACACGCCCCACATGCACACACAGGGTGCATCCCCGAACCCACAAGCCCTGCAGGGCGCTCCCTATAAACTCACAGGACAACATTCCACAGGGCCACTGAAGGGAGGGCAGGGCTGGGAACCATGAGGCCCAGACTGGCGTGGTGTCAGGCCACGCAGAGCCCTCCTCCTGACTCCAGCACACTCTCCCACTCCCCTCCACACCCAGCACCTGCCTTGGTGAAGCTGCCCTAAAACTTGGAGGTGGGGACGTGGGCCCAGCCACGCTGACTCCTGACCAGTCCATTCTGCAGCAACTTCGGGTTCCCAGGCCGGTCAGAGAGGTTCAGCCTCTGTCCTCATGGGCACTGGACTGAGTCCTCACTCAGCAGCCACACAGCCACAGGAAGTGGGGGGCGGGGGGCTGGGCCTGCAAGGGGACTTTGGGAACATAGAGTCTATTTGTGATTGTCTGAACCCGAAAACCACAGGCCCCAGGTGGCTGGCTAGAGGCCAGCAGCTCCTCTGGCCCCGCTTTTTTTTTTTTTTTTTGAGATGGAGTTTGGCTCTTGGCTTACTGCAATCTCCACCTCTCAGGTTCAAGTGATTCTCCTGCCTCAGCCTCCTAAGTAGCCAGGATTACAGGTGCCGCCACCACACCCAGCTAATCTTTTTATTTTTAGTAGAGACGGGGTTTCACCATGTTGGCCAGGCTGGTCTAGAACTCCTGACCTCAGGTGCCTCAGCCTCCCAAGGCACTGGGATTATAGGTGTGAGCCACTATGCCCAGCCGTTCCTCTGGTCCTTTTGCTGACTTGAAACTTAAGTAAACCAGGGTGCTGCTAGAAGCCTGCTCAGGGGTCCAGTCTGTCCAGCTGGAGCTGGGGCGCTGGGTAGAACTGAAAGAAGAGAGAAATTCACCCAGGAAATCTGGGATTGGCCACAGGGTCTCCACCTAGGGGCCTGAGCTGGCCGTAGGAGTCTCAGCCACTGACCTTTAGCTCATGCATGCTGAGGCTGGGGAACTGCCCAAATGTGAGTCCACTGGGCCTCACACCTGTGACCTGGTTGGGGAAGGCAGCCTCAAAGTCATCTCTTCTGGCCCCAGTCCCATGCCACCGCTTACACTCATCCTGTGACGTGGCGCTCCCTCTCTCACTGTCTTTATTCTGTGACAGCTTTGGCTGTTAGATACCCTAGAACCCACTGCCTGGAACTGGACAGAGTAAGCCAGCTTCCTCATTGGCACAGTGGTCCTCTAGACATTTGGCAAGGGTCCCTCCAGCACTTCTCCTCCCAGGTTCTTTTTTTTTTTTTTTTGAGACAGAGTCTCGCTCTGTCACCCAGGCTGGAGTGCAGTGACATGATCTCATCTCACTGCAACCTCCATCTGCCGGGTTCAAGCGATTCTCCTGCCTCAGCCTCCCGAGCAGCTGGGACTACAGGCGTGCGCCACCATGCCCAGCTAATTTTTGTATTTTTAGTAGAGATGAGGTTTCACTGTGTTAGCCAGGATGGTCTGGAACTCCTGACCTCGTGATCCACCGACCTCGGCCTCCCAAAGTGCTGGGATTACAGGAATGAGCCACCGCGCCTGACCTTCCCAGGTTCTTTAACGCCTCCTCCTAGGACATGGTTTCCAGACTTTTCATCCCAGTTACTCTCCCTTTGCCCTCCCCTGACACGTTCGGACTTGCATAGACACACACTGAGGGCCTCTCACCTGCCTTGGCTGCCCTGCGCTCCATGAACAAGGCCTGCATCTGCGGCGAGAGTTCTGGCTGCCATACACACTTCCTGCCAGCTGCTCTGCGAGGCACGAGGAGCTGCACCTAAAAAGCTCAGGGGCTCAAACAAATTCTGGTTTAAGACAACCTCAGCCGCACTATGGTATAGAAACGGGAAGGAATAAGGAGGCGGAGCGCAGGCACTGGGGGCGCAGGTGCAGTGCAGGCTCCAGAAAGAGGACAGGGGTGCTAACCACAGAAGCAAACCCCACAGCACTGACCACGGGCTGGGAGCATCCTGCATTGCCACGCAAGCCAGTGACGTCAGGCACAGCAGCTAATGAGACAGACTTGGGTTGCCTGGGCCCAGCTCCGAGATTCACTGACTCACTGTGTAACCTCAGGCAAGTCGCTTGCCCTCTCTGTGCCTTCATTCCCTCATCTGTAAAGTGAGGCGTGTAATAGCAGACCCCGCCTCACAGGGCTGTTGGGAGGCTTGCATGAGTTGCTAGATGCAAAGTGCTGAGAGCGGGGCCTGGCAAAGAGCAAACACATCTGCCCTTCCTTTCTCCCCATTTTTCAGATAAGGAAACGGAGGCACAAAGCAGTGGAGTTCACTTTCCCAAGATCAGGCAGCTAATGAGTGGCAGCACCTGTGCTGGGAGGTCACTGTGAGGTTCAGGAGGCCTCTAGGGGGTGGAAGGGAGGGATCCTCCTGGGTTCCCCCACCCAGTGAACATCATTGTCTGGGGACATTTGGTGAGAACCTGTGAGGCCGAGGCAGGGCCAGGGAGCGGCTGCTGTGCGGTACCCTCCAGAAAGCCTAGGCAGGGCCGAGTGTTGTCACCTATAGGAGGAACAGGCTGGCTCATTCTCATTCCCTGCTGGGGCCTGGGAAAACACTCTCAGGGACGGGGACAGAGCCAGGGCCTCTGGAGGAAAAGGCTCTGGGGCATTTGGTTCCCCTGGGGCCTGTCCAGAGTCAGGGTATCCTCCTCTAGGTCCCCCACCCCACCCAGCTGGGCTGTGAGCCTCCCAGGCTTCTTCCGCATGCCTGGAGATTGATCACCATACGCTCTCCCGCCCGGCCCCACCAGAGGCTGCCAGCAGTTAAGGACGGCTCTGAGGCTCGAGGTCCTTGGGTGGGAGGTATCCGCCAAAAATGGCTGCAGGGTTCCCTCCCTCCCCACCCTCGGCCGTGCGTCCACCATTTCTCCCTCCCTGAAATCTGGACAGCCCTGTGACTTGCTGTGGCCACCAGGATGAGGTAGAAGGGACCAGGAAATGTCCAGGCTAGGCCTCAAGTGGCCTTGCAGTGTCCTTTTGCTCCAGCTTAGAGGCCAGTGGTTATGGAGGAAAATCCGAGGGGAGAGCGGCCCTGGAGATCACAAGGGAGGAGAGAAGCCGCCTGCTCCAGCTGTTCCAGCCACCCCTGCCGGGCACCGGGCCTGGGAGGGAGGCCAGGGAGGCTGCCCCAGCCAGGCAACACCGCAGAGACAGTCACACGGCAGGCAGACCAGGCGAAAGGCCTGCTCCCACTGGAGGTCTGGGCGAGTCACATCACCTCTCCTAGATTTGGTTCCCCCGAAAGAGGGGCAGCAAAAGCACCAGCATGGTCTGGAGTGACGGTGCAGAGTCGGCGAGCCCTGTGAGTGGCGCTCGGGCTCGCCCAGGGACTGTGGTGGGGAAACACGAGCCATTTTCACTATTCTTAGAAGCTTGGAGACGCAGCTGAATCCAGGCGGACCCTCCTCGGCTGGACAAAGCCTCCAGGGAACTGAGCAGCTGGATTCTAACAAGGGCTGCTGCTGCAGGGACATTTTCCATGGCCATGTGTGAGCATGAACCATGTCAATTTTGAGCCTTTGCTGTCTCATGAGGGGTATGACGCAGCCCCCACTGACTGCAGTGGCAGAAGAGGGGCTATTTCTTTCCTTTTTTTTTTTTTTTTGAGACGGAGTCTCGCTCTGTCCCTCAGACTGGCGTGCAGTGGCACAATCTCGGCTCATTGCAACCTCTACCTCTCAGGTTCAAGCAATTCTCCTGCCTCCGCCACCTGAGTAGCTGGGATTGAAGACATGTGTCACCACGCCCAGCTCATTTTTGTATCTTTAGTAAGGATGGGGTTTCACCATGTTGGCAAGGCTGGTCTTGAACTCCTGACCTCAGGTGATTCACATGCCTCAGGCTCCCAAAGTGCTGGGATTATTATAGGCATGAGCCACCATGCCAGGCTGGGCAGGGCCTTTCTTTGGTTCCTAATCAAAGCTAAGCATATACTAGGTACTCCATGCATATAATCTGGAGGAATGAGTGGATGTTTCGTCTGAGATGGGCCAGATAGGGCAAGACTGGCACTGGGGAGACCGGCAGAGGCACTGGGAAACAGGTGAGGTAACGGTGTCTGGGGTGATGAGGGGCTGGCAAGAGATGAGACCCCCAGGACCAGGTGTTGTCTGCAATGTGGCGTGGGGAGGGAGTTGACGCCCACGGGTCTGATAGGGAAGGCTGCCCACCCCTGACAGCTGGGCTCAGAGGCTGGGTTCCAGGTGTGACATCACTGGGCAGAAGCCCTCAACACCCTTCAGGCCCAGACTGGTGCTTCGCCACCCCATCTATTCCTCAAACTCCTGCTCCCACTCTGGGCCCAGGATGCAGGGACCTCTTCCTGGAAGACTTCCCTGATTCTCCTGTTCCTTCTGCACCCTGACCCCCATGATTTCTCCTTCCGTTAGCTCTTCATTCATTCATTCATCCACTCGCTTCATTACTCACTCAGGAAATGATTTGGAGACTGGCCCTGTGTCCCCACGGGGACACAGAGATGACCCTGCTTCAAGAGAGACAGACTCAGAAGCCAAACCACAGCATGAGTCAAATCTCAATGCACTTTGAAAGAAAAAATTTCTCACGGATCCTGGGGTTGTCGTCAATGATTTTTATTATAGTGTCTCTTAAATATGCACAGACACTGAGCTAGGTGTAAAGCTCCTGTGCCTCTTTTGCCTCCAGCATTAAAACCAGAGCAAGGCCGGGCGTGGTGGCTCATGCTTGTGATCCCAGCACTTTGGGAAGCCAAGTGGGGTGGATCACCTGAGGCCAGGAGTTCAAGACCAGCCTGGCCAACATGGCGAAACCTCGTATCTACTGAAAAATACAAAAATTAGCCTGTCGTGGTGGTGGGCGCCCATAATCCCAGCACTTTGGGAGGCCGAGCCGGCTGGATCAATTGCGGTCAGGAGTTCGAGACCAGTCTGGCCAACATAGTGAAACCCCGTCTCTACTAAAATTACAAAAATTGGCTGGGCGTGGTGGCGGGCACCTGTAATCCCACCTACTGGGGAGGCTGATGGAAGGGAATCGCTTGAACCTGGGAGGTGGAGGCTGCAGTGAGCCGAGGTTGTGTCATTGCACTCTAGCCCAGGCCACAGTGAGACCCTGTCTCAAAAAAAAGAAAAAAAAGAAAGAAAAAAGTTCTAAATACACACTGCCAGAGTCAACTGGCCTCTGAGGCTGTGTAAGGACAGGCTCTTGATTTCACAGAAGGGAGGTTGGGGGTAATTGTTAGGGACCCCCTTCCCATGTCAGTATTTTCAGGCCTTTGTTGTGAGTGGGTCACATTCTCCCGAGAGGAGCCTCAGTGTCCTGCCTGGAGGGTGACGACAGGGTTGTGTGCTGGAAGCCGGCCAGCGGGCATGGAGGCCCGTCATCCAGAAGCACCTGGCACACAGCTCCGCTTCCAGTGCCGTGGCAGTGCTGCTATCTCTGGGTGGAGTCGAGCTCCCTGCCGGTCGGATGGAGGAGGGGACTGCCTGGCCATTCTGGGTGGGCGTCTGGGGACCTGTCCGAGCCTCGTTTTGCCCAGCTGGTATTGCTGGCTCAGACTGAGCTTTTGGTGGTTTTCAGGGTAAATCACACTCGTGCTCAGCGGCCATCGTACACTTGGGATGTAACTTCTGTGTCTAAGTCACTTGCCACTCTACATCAACTTTCCAGCTTCAAAACCTGTGTGGATGTTCTCTATCCTGCCTGCTGCAACCTTGTGGGTTTATACCTAGAAGGGAGGGAGGGAGGAAGGAGGGGGTGCCCAGAGTCACCCACATCTCCAGCCACTTTTTTTTTTTTTTTTTTGAGATGGAGTCTCCATCTGTAATCCAGGCTGTAGAGCAGTGGCGTGATCTCGGCTCACTGTAATCTCCACCTGATAGGTTCAAGCAGTTCTCCTGCCTCAGCCTCCAGAGTAGCTGGGACTACAGGCATGTGCCACCACACCCAGCTAATTATTTTTGTATTTTTAGTAGAGATGGGGTTTCACCATGTTGGCCAGGATGGTCTCGATCTCCCGACCTTGTGATCTGTCTGCTTGGCCTCCCAAAGTGCTGGGATTACAGGCATGAGCCACCATGCCCGGCAACTGAGGCCACTCTTGATGAAGGTTGGACTTCTTCCCTCCAAACAGCTGGGCCCACCCCAACACTGTCCCATGCAGGGGGCTGGGAACTAGAGATGAACTGTGCATGGATCCTAACCGGGAACCCCAGGGTCACTGCAGACCAAGTTGCAGGCGCCCTGAGCTCACTGGAGCAGAGGACAGCCTTGCTGGGGGGGTCCCTGGAGAGGAGATGAGAGTGATCTGGGTCCTGAGGGATGCGCCATTCCAGGTGAAGGAAGCCTCAGCAGAAACAGATGCATGAGGGTGGGGGTCTGCCCAGTCCCAGGAGGGCGTGGGGCCTGGTCTGGCATGAGCAGATCCCAGTGAACAAGTCAGACCAGGTGACAAAACCCCAGGATGATCTCAGCTCCCACAGGGCCCCTTGGTGTGAGAGCTTCCTTCCTACCCTGGGGCCAGGCTGCCCAGCAGGTTTAATTGGCACAGAGGGATGGCTGTCAAATCTGCTCTCAGGAATGGAAGGGTCTCTGAAAATCAGGAGGAAACTTCATGGTACACAGGGAAAAGTCCAGAGTTTAAATCTTTGCTCCTGTGTGAGCTTGGGCAAGCTGCTAAACCCCTCTGAGGTCTGGTTTCCTCATCTCTATAATGGGGTCACAGATACCAACTCTGCCAGGTCATTAACTTAAATGAGGTATTACATGTCAGCTACATGCCTGGAACATAGTTAGAATCCACCCCCCAACCTTTTTTTTTTTTTTTTTTTTTTTTTTGAGATGGAGTCTCTGTCACTCAGGCTGGGGTATAGTGGTGTAATCTCAGCTCACTGCAACCTCCACCTCCCAGGTGCAAGTGATTCTCCTGCCTCAGCCTCCCGAGTAGGTGGGATTACAGACATGCACAACCACATCCAGCTAATTTTTGTTTTTAGTAGACACAGGGTTTTACCATGTTGGCCAGGCTGGTCTTGAACTCCTGATCTCAGGTGATCCACCTGCCTTGGCCCCGAAAAGTGCTGGGATTACAGGTGTGAACCACCGACCCCAGCCAGAACTCACTAGTTTTGTTGTTGTTGTTGTTTTAAATAAAAAGCTGAGCTGTAAACCTTCATTTGGAGACAGGGATCAGAGAGATTTATGGGCCAAGATTGTCCAGGGGTACCCGGGAGGTGGAACTTACAGAAGCACCAGGTCAGGAAAGGTCACGTGGTCTTGGGGCAGGAAGGAAGATGGGGGGCTGCCAGCCCCACCCGCCATCAAGCACCTGCAGCAGCACTTCAGGTTCCAGACTGGCTGGCTTCCCTCTGGAAGTCCCAATTTGTGAACCTAGAGTGAAGCCAAGGACTCCATCATATCTTTACCACCACCCCCTCACGGCCAAAGGACTGTGCTGTAGAGCCAGGCTCCCCGGCCCATCTGATGCCCTGTGTGTGTGTCCGGCGGCTGCTCGGCTGCTGATACCTGTGATGACGGGGGGGGGGTCCCCATCTCCCACAGGCACACACGCTTAGAGAGTCCTTTCTCATACGGAGCTGAACTGCCTCCCAGTCACTATACCCAAGCTCCTTAACTGACCTGTGCCTGCTTTTCCACATCTGTAAAATGGGTGCCAGCAGCAGGACCCAGTGAACCTTCAGACACAAATTGCTGCCATTCAGGGACTGGGCGAGGGCCACGGGAGTGAAGGCTTTGCAAGTTCCCAGCAGGGCACCTGGCCCTGAGCAGTGGAGTTTCATTAGGATCACCTGGCGGGGGGAGGGGGCGCGACCTGCTGAGGCTCCCCGTGCAGCCTGAGTCTATAAACCTTCGGGACTGACACAGCACTTCGGGAAGCAGCAATTTACTTGATGATGAGTAATTTCAAAATGTTACTTTTGAAAAGATGCTATTTTTGTACTAAAATGGAACACAAGAATTTGACTGCAAAATTCACCTGTTCAAAATAAATGATGAGACATGTAATTTCTTATAAACCCCAAAACTCAGGGGTCCTAGGGTGGGGGTAGTTTTCTGCAGGGTGACGACATTTCCTGCATGAAGTCCCAGAAGCCCTGCTCTGGGCCGTCAGTCTATTTGTCCACTCACATTCTTAGACAGGTCCCAGGCGCTGGCCCGGGGCTACCGGGATGACTGGAGGAGCATCCAGGGCTGGGGGGAGAGGGTGACTTCCACACAGCAGATGCCCAAAGGTAGGAGGCTGTACCTGTGGAAGGTTCTGGTGTCAGCACCGTCTGGACCACAAGATGGCTTTGGTGAAATGCTGAGCACAGATTAATCATGGTGCATGGGAAACTAGCCATGGGCTCAAGCCCACTCCTGCCCTGGCCGGGCCCCTCTGTGATGGAAGAACCAGGGCAAGAAGGGACTGGATCAGGTGATGGTCACACATCCTGGGGTCCTTTCACCTCTCTGGGGGTCTCTGAAGGCAGGAATAGAGTGTGTGAGCTAGTGTCAGTACGTCTCAAAGCCTGCTGTCAGACACTGTGTTTGTCCCCTACGTGGCCGCCCAGGCTCATGGAAATGCCAAGCGCCTGTCTCTGCTCCAGGCTGACATCACCTCCGCGTGGGAACAGAGCCTGTGCTCATGCCGAGCGCATCGGGACTGGCAGAGATCTGCATCCTTGTTTGGTTTCAAAACAGGGGGCCCAGAAGGCAGACTCATGAAAGATGCTGTTGTCGGAGGAAATTTCAGGAGCTTGGCCTGAAGCCCGTCTGCACTTCGGCTGTGAAGAGGCAAGAACCCCGCCCGCTGCCCTAGAGCTGGGCTCTGAGGAGGCTGCAGGTAGCGCCAACTCAGCACCTGCTTCCAGCAGGGTCCAGCCCAAGCCCTCATGGCATAAGGGTGGCCACAGGCGTGTGGTGGATGGGTGGACATCTTGGTTAACACTCCTGTCACCTGTCCCTGTCTCCCCATCAGTAGGACGGAGGCAGCTCTCACTTCTCACAGCTATGGCCACTCCATGTGTTTAGCAGTCTGAGTGGGCTGTCGCCTCATTCTGTACATGAAAAACCAGCCCAAGTAACTGCCCAAGGTCACAGTGTCCCTTCCTCCCTGACTCATGCCATTTCCTCTCCGTTCCTCCCTGACTCACGCCACGCCTGTGCGAGGGGTTGCTGCGTGTCTGGCAGTGACGCTGGGGCTGGACCTAGTGGAATAAGAGACAAAGCCCTTGCTCCCATGGAACAGGCGAGAGGCAACACGGACAGAGGCAGAGCTAGCGTCCCACGGAGGGAACAGAACAGGGAGATGGGAAGGGTCTGGCAGGGAGCAGTGAGGGATGGACTCTCTCTGAAAGGGGCATCTGTGCTAAGACCTGAGGGACAAAAAGGAACTAGCCTCACAAACAACAGTCAGGTGCTTTTCCCTTTGATGTCAGAGCAGCCTGGAGTCGCTCCAGACAGGCCCCGCTACCCCAACGGCCACTAGCAGGGGACACTCTGACATGGGCCTTGTGGGGAGCTTGCTCTGTGGCTCTGCTGTCAGCTCCCAACTCATGAGAATGAGAGGATCAGACCAGGACGGAACAAGCCCTAGTGAGTTTGGCTCACAGGGGCTGCAGTGTGCCCAGACCACCTGCCCTGGCCCTGGGACAAACGGATGTCTGAGGGCCAGGACCTCCGTCCAGCCAGCGACCTAGCTTGGTTTTGGAAGGGACTGATGTCTTCAAGGAACAAGTGGGCAGGGGCGGTGAGTGTTCTCTGGTTCCATCTAGCCCTGCCTCACTGCTTTCCCCACGGAGGCTATGGGAGGCAGACAGGCTGGAGAGGGCCACCTCGGCCCGCCTTGTGTCAGATGCCACCTGGGTACATGGACAGTGGCAGCGACCCACCCAGGGCTGCACAGCTCTGCCTGGTTGTGCTGTTCACTTTCCTTGCCTTGACTCCTGACCCTTTATATCCTCAAACTGACTCCTGAGCTTCCCCTCTTGCCTTCATTTCCCTCCAGGAGAGAGGCTCAAATGCAGCTAAATGACACAAGGCTGGGGACAGGGGACACAAAGGCAACAGCCCAGCGCCCTGGCCCCACACACTTAGGGCAGAGCAGGTGCTGGGAGAGGCCTGGGGCCTAGAGTTGCATGGTGGCCGCTTGTGACCAAGACTGTGCCTGAACCTGTCGGTGCCTCAGTTACTCACCATGCTTCTCTCTCTCTGGTGGTAGTGCTGACACCACAGCTCCAGGGGTGTTCAGGGACTATGGTCGTCATCAGGACCCCCGGTGGCTCGGCTGGGAAAGCTGAGAAGGACAGATCTTGGAAGGCAGCTCCACAGGCACAGCCCCTGCCCAGCACAGAGGGGAGGGGACATCCGGGACCCCCTGGCCACACCAGACAGAGAGTGGCTTTGTTCCTAGGCAGATGCACTGATTCGGTTTCTGTTGCAGAGGCTCTTGTTAGAGGGATGAGTTCTTAAGTCACAGAAAGCAGGACGAGGTGCTCTATGGGCTGGTATTTATAGAATATCCTTCCCTAAACCCACTAAAGCAAACTAGCTGGCAAGAGGGCAAGGCCTCTGCCCTGGTGACCTGAGCACTGGGTGCCCACAGCACCACTCACACCCCAAGACCCTGGACTCCCACTCAGGAAGAGCACCACAGCCCTGCCACTGCCTAGGGGCTAGAGGGCTTGGCCTATAGCAGGGAAAGCTCTGTCACCCCCTCTAGATGTATATGAACATCTGAGAGTGGGCCCGGGGGGTACCAGGCAGGCCACGTTTGCCCTGGGGCTGTGGGGGCAGCAGCATGGAATGGAGCCAGAGGCCCGGGTTCCAATCCCAGCCCTGCCACTTAGCAGCCTGGTGAGCAGAGTTCTTGAACTTCCAGGGCAGTGAACAGGGGAGGCGTCCACCACCAGAGTAACAGGAGGCATGCAACAGCACTATTAATATCACAATGCGTAATGTCACCATTTATTACTTCCTTACTGCATTAAAAAAGTGACCCCGTTTCTAGAGACCCAACAGCATCACACAGGCATTCTTGGAAGAGAATTTCTTTTGTTCCCAAGCCTTTGTGACTTTAAATCCTCTCACCTGCAGAACAGAGATGGCTTCAAAGTGGGGGGTGGGGGAGTGAGCAAGGGCCCTGGGCTGAGACCTGTTTTTCTTCCATTTCTGCTGTGGCTTCCCACCTCTCCCTGGTTCCACACCAGGCCCTGCTCTGCGGCAGGAAAATGGATTCCTGGGCCACGGAGCCATCAGGCCTTTGACTTTGCAGGACCAAGTGCCCTGGAGGCTCTGCGACAGTGGCCAGTCCCTCGTGGGCTGGTCTAGAGAATGGGGCGCAGGGAGGCTGGGAGCTGGGGAGGGTGTGGGGAATCCAGGGGGCCCTGGATACTGATGAAATGGCTCAGGTCTGAGCTCTGGCTGCCCCACTGATTGTGTGGCTTGACCAAGGTGCAAGTCTCTTGGCCTGCTTCCTCCTCTGAAACAGGAGTGGCAATCCTGGCCGACAGCCCTGGTGGCACCCCCTACCCACCAAAGGCAGAGAACATGTGTGAAATAGTCTAACTCAGGCCCTAGGCCAGGCCGGCCCTATGCTTCCCAGGGTACTGTGTCTCAAAGAACCTCTTCCCTCCTGGAACCACTGTCTACTCTTCTTTCTTTCAAATGAGTCCCCCAGCCTGACTCACAACCCGTTTCCTACCCTCAGCCGGGAGAGGCCCCTCATCAGTAGTAAAGATGGTTCATCTCAGCTGCCTCCCAGCCTACGGTTTTCGCAGCACCAGAAGGAAAGCGAAAGGCAGGCACTGGCTCACCGTGGCTCAGGCCTGAGGAGAGCAGCCCCTGCCTCAGCCTGCTGGGGCCGTCTTCACCTCTCCCACATGCCCACCTCTGGGAAGCCCAGGCTGCCCACCTCTGGCAGCTCCAGGTCTCTTAGACCACTTCTCCCTGTTCCTTTCCACCTGACCTGCCCCCTCTGTGGCCATCTCAGGCGTCGGATGCTTCCCTGGTCCTCCTCAATGTTTACCACAGATGATACAACTGGGGCAGGTCCAGGGATGGGGCCCAGCCAGGGTCACCAGCCTAGGTTCCACTCTGGATGCAGGAGCACAGGGCCGTGAGGCTGGAGAAGCGGGGGACTACTGCCCTGAGGTGAGGGGAGGGGTTGGTGGGAGGAAGGGTGGCCTTGGGAGAGAAGGGTCTGCTGGGCCTGCGACACTCAGGGTCCACAGGGTGCCTCTTCCTGCTCTGCAGGAGGCTGCCGGGGAGGCTGGGGCAGCCTGCAGGCCCACTTCGGCTTTCACACCTGGCCCTCTGCTGAAAGGGCGATGGTCCTGAAAAGTGGCCTTCAGCTTCCTGTGTGGTGACAAGATGTGAACCACAGGTCCACTCTGCACCCATACCCTCCACCGCTGCGAGAGCCATGGGAGAGAGTCTGATGCAGGCTGAGGACAGGGTGCCTGCTGGCCACTGTGGCACAGGCAGATGTTAGGAAAAGGCTGGACCCCATCCTGCCCCACGCCAGGCGCTGCTCGGGCTGCACTCCCCGGCTGCCCTACGGTGCCGTCACCACGCTCTGCTCACCATGGTCTACACTCCAGAGGCGGTAAAACTCAGCAAAGTCCACATAGGGCTCAACGCGGCCGTCCTCGCCAGGCGGGAGTGAGTGGGCAGGCCGGGAGCGGAAGAGGCCCCCGTCGGAGCTGGAGCTGCTGCTCTGCGTGTGCGTGTTGGTGGACTGCAGGGTTAAGGTGGGGCTTTGGCTGCAGGACAACGGGGGAGGGAGTCAGTCAGGAGCAGCCGGGTCAAGGGGGCCTTGGCTTCCAGCCTGGGAACAGAGAGGCCCCTGCATCTATCAGCCCCTCAGGCCACAGGCCTTTCTAGCAGAGCTGCTCCAGCAAGATGTTCTTAGGAACAGATAAAAAGTCAAATTTAAAAGCACCAGCTAGCTGCATGTGGCTACTTTAATGAACTAAAGGTAAAGAAAATGGGACCAGGCATGGTGGCTCACACCTGTAATCCCAGCACTTTGGGAGGCCGAGGTGGGTGGATCACCTGAGGTCAGGAGTTCGAGACCAGTCTCACCAACATAGTAAAACCTCATCTCTACTAAAAACACAAAAAAATTTAGCCAGGTGTGGTGGTGTGCACCTGTAGTCCCAGCTACTTGGGACGCTGAGGCAAGAGAATTGCTTGAACCTGGGCAGTGGAAGTTGCAGTGAGCCAAGATCATGCCATTCATTGCACTCCAACCTGGGTGACAAGAGCAAAACTCCATCTCAAGAAAAAAAAAAAAAAAGGAACACTAGGTTCAAACGCCTAATAGCCACAAGTGTCTGGTGACGCTGTGCTGGGACAGCACTGACACGAGCCCTCCCCCCATCACAGAAAGTTCCAATGGGTGGTGCTGAGCTACAGACTATACACTGCCATCTCTCTAAATGCATCCCAATCCATGCCCTTCTCAGCAGGGCGGGCAAGTTGTCTTCTAGAAAACCTTCCTTCGCCCTCCTCACCGTCACTCCCTTCTCATCAGTTGGGTGGAGACAGGCACCCACCTTCTGTCACAGCTGAACTGCCTGTTAGTGCTGCCCAGCACCAGCACAGGACCGGCCCACGTCCGGACCAACTACAGCTCCGATGCTGAAGGGAGGGATACAGGAGGAGGGCGGGTTATCCTGTCTTGTCTAGGGCCACAGCGGTTACTCAGCTTTGTGGACACAGCTGGAGGACTCCTCCAGGCAGCCTGGCAAGGGTGCTGGAGAGGCCACCCCTACTGCACTCGGATGCCCACGGAGCTTGCTTGGCCTGGCAGTCATTTCTAGCCCTGTGGCAGTGGTGGCAGCATCCACAAGCCAGAGGCAGAGGGAAAGGAAGGCCCCCTGATGAGGCAGAGGCAGACAGGCCACCCACCCCCTTCCAGGCCCCTTCTAATTGGCCACATCCTGTGCACTCCATCCTCAGAGTGGGCTGGGTGTGGCATCTCTATTATACAATGCAGGGCTGGAATGTGGAAACCAGATCTGGGTCCCCTGGTGTCGGGGGGTGTACATTCCACGGAAGTGAAGGGGGTGGGGTATACTCCAGACCTGTTAGGCAGGTCGGCAGCTGGAGGGGGCCTGTCGGCAACACCCTCAGGCTGCTGCTTCCATTTCACCCCCTGCCCTCAAAACCAGAGAACTTACTTCAAAGCTAAAATCAGGCACATTAGCCAGAAGGCATGGGCTCTGACAAGCCAGTACAGGCCAGACAATGTCCCCAAGCAAGGACACCACAGGAAGCTGCCCCACATCATGCCCAGGTGGAGAATGAAAGAGAACCTTCAAGGCTGGGGACAGTGGCTCACGCCTGTAATCCCAGCACTTTGGGAGGCCAAGGTGGGCAGATCACCTGCGGTCGGGAGTTTGAGACCAGCCTGACCAACACGGAGAAGCCCCATCTCTACTAAAAATACAAGAAAAATTAGCCAGGCGTGGTGATGCATGCCTGTAATCTCAACTACTCGGGAGGCTGAGGCAGGAGAACTGCTTGAACCCGGGAAGCAGACGTTGCAGTGAGCCAAGATCTCGCCATTGTACTCCAGCCTGGGCAACAAAAGTGAAACCGTCTCAAAAAAAAAAAAGAGAACCTTTCGCTGAATGAAACCAGCAGATGGGGCTCACAAGAAAATCCAAGAAGGCTGGCACCATCAGCTACCTGACCCGAAACCTCAGCTGGCCCAGCAAGGGCTGCCTCTTCCTCCTGCCTCAGTTCCTAAGGAGACCTCCCTCACCAGGCACGGAGCTGGGGAATTTGAGACCTCAGGGCATCTCATCCACAAGACCTGGCCCCATGGTCATTTCTGTCCCAGTGCCACAGGACACACATAGGGGTGACAGCGCTGGTGGTGGCTAAGTTGGGGAGGGACTTACTTGGTGAGGGTGGGGGTTGCTTCATCCAGGGTGGAAGCGCTGTGCGCCCCGTTGACCATCTGGCCCTGGGAGGGCATGACAAGAGAGAGGGTCACGCTGGTCTTGCTGGTGCTCTGGGCACTGGAGTATGGCACAGACACAGGGTACACTCGTCCCCCTGCAGCTTTGGGAGGAAGAGAGTGGGAGCCTCAGGCAGTGGCTGAGGAGGAACCCAGGATAGTGGGAGTAGAGCTGCTCCATGGCCTGATGGGGTGGTGCCTGAGGGCTGAGGGTTGGCAGCAGCCATGCCTGGCTCCCCAAGCCCAGTGCGGCGCCCTGCCCCTTGGTACAGCTTACGGGGAATTTCCTTTGGCAGAAACTCTTCCAGGCCGGGCTGGGAACTCATAGCAGTAAAGCCTGCTGGTGCTTGAGGTGCCTCAAGGAAAGGGTTACTGCCTGACTTTCCACGGATGCTTTAATCCAGAGGATAAGTTTGCTCCCAGTTGAGGCTGATCCAATAAAAATACGATTGCAATAACAACAGGCCAAAGGAACTCCAATAACCCTGGTGTCCATGGGAGAACAAATCTGTCTGTGGATGCCTGAGCTTTACCTAAGGTTTGCTTGTTTAAAACAAAGAAAAAAAAAGCAGCCCTCGGGAACCAAAGGTCTTAGCACGGAGCAGCACTGGGGGAGCTCAGCAGAGAGCAGCCACCTCTTTTTCTCAGAACTTGGCTGAAGAATTACAAAGGCAGGGGCCAGGTGCAGTGGCTCATGCCTGTAATCCCAGCACTTTGGGAGGCTGAGGCAGGCAGATCATGAGATCAGGAGTTTGAGACCAGCCTGGCCAACATGGTGAAACCCCGTCCTTACTAAAAATACAAAAATTAGCTGGGCATGGTGATGTGCACCTGTAATCCCAGCTACTCAGGAGGCTGAGGCAGGAGAATCACTTGAACCCGGGAGGCAGAGGTTACAGTGAGCCATGATCGTGCCATTGCACACCAGCCTGGGCAACAAGAGCAAGACTCCATCTCCGAACAACCACCAAAAAAAGAATTACAAAGGCAAAAAGCAAAATATCCTTCTTCCTGCCCTGCTCTAGTGCAGCCCTGGGACAGACAGGCTTTGGGGCCTGACCATCTGTCCACATGCCTAATCTCTTTGAGGTCCCTTCATTCTTAGCCTCAGTTTCCCCCTCTGGAAAACAGGGGTACCACCTGGTTTTAGGGTTGTCAATGAGGACTGAAGGAAATAATGCAGGTCGTGCTCCTGGCACACCGGAGGCGCTCAACCAGTGGTGGCCATCATCTCTACTATGCGGCTTCACAGCTCTGTGAATTGCTGGCTGGTGCACTCAGGTTCTGGGAGGTTGCCGGGACAGGTGGTATTATCCTCATTTTACAGACAAAAAAGCAAAAATCAACACGCAGCACAGAGAGGCTGAAAGTCAAGAGAACCTGGGTTAGAGCCACTCAGAGCCAGGCTTCCTAACTCCATCTCTGTTTCAATCAGCCTTGGCTGTTCTGCACCCACCTCTGGTCCCCAGATGGCATCCCCAGGCACTGCCTGTCTGCACAGCACACGTACCTGGGGCCGGGCTTGTTGTGGGCTGGCTCATTTCGCCCAGCGGGTAGCCAAAGTTCCTCACCAGCAGGGTCATGTCCTCATGCCGGGGGCAGAACCTGGCACGCTCCCCACCGCTGGCGAAGGTGTCGCTGTGGATGCGCTTCACCCGGTCCACCACTGCCTGGGCTACCGCGTCGAGCGAGGTCTGCTTGGCGAACTCAGTGTCAATCATTGCGGCAATCTCCTGGGGAAGGGGGCAGGGGGAGTTAAGAACCTGGTAAGGAACTGGGGGCGGCCCTGGGGGTGTGCGCCATAATCTCAGAGCCCCAATCAGGAGATTTAGTGGTCAATAGCACAAGAGGTGAAGGAAGTGCCTGCCAGGCAAGCTTGCCATCTGAGGCTTTCAAGGTATTCAGGATAATCCTTCTGGAACTTTCTCATTAGGAAGTGTGTGCCCTTGTGATCTCTGTGATTGCTGGGTGCATACCTCTAGGAGGGAGAGAACATCCACCCCACTGGTGATTGTGAGGATTAACTAACAATGGTGGGAGAGTGTTCTGGCGACCACTAAAAAGCCCAGTACAAAGTGTCATTATTATGAAACACTCTTTCCTGTAACAAATTTGTTGTAGGTGATGTTATACATGCTAGGATTTTGTCAGGAACTGGGGATAAAAAATGAAAACAGGGTCCCTGACCTCAGAGAAGTCCCCGTCCAGTATACAGACGTTCCTCAATTTAGGATGGGGCTATGTCCTGAGAAACCCATTGTAAGCTGAAAATATTGTAAGCTGAAAAAGCATTGAATGTACCTAACCTACTGACATCATCACTTAGCCTAGCCTACCTTAAATGTGCTCATAACACTTCTATTAGCCTATAGCTGGGCACAGTCATCTAGCACAAAGCCTATTTTATTCATATATAATATTGAATCTCCTGTGATTTTTTATTTTTATTTTTTTGAGACGGAGTCTCACTCTGTTGCCCAGGCTGGAGCACAGTGGTGCGATCTCGGCTCACCACAACTTCTGCCTCCTAGGATCAAGCAATTCTCCTGCCTCAGCCTCCCCAGTAGCTGGGATTACAGGCATGGGTCACTAGGCATCAGGTAACCCTTTGTGTGTGTGTTTTTAGTAGAGATGGGGTTTCACCATGTTGGCCAGACTGGTCTTAAACTCCTGACTTCACGTGATCTGCCTGCCTTGGCCTCTCAGAGTGCTGGGATTACAAGCCTGAGCCACCATGCCTGGGCGGATCTCATGTAATTTATTGAGTACTGGATTGACAGTGAAAATCAGAATGGTTGTAGCGGTACTTGGAGCACGGTTCCCACCGAATGTGTATCACTTTCATACATTGTAAACTTTCTCTTGGGTGGGAGTAGGAGGGTACGGGCAGGTAATAGGAAATGACCTGGAACCAGTCCTGGCAGGCTTGGTTTCATCACTAAGCAGCAATGTCACCTCCAGCAAGACCCTGAACTCCCAAAATGGGCCCCAAATTTCCTACTCTACGTGGAAGTAAGCCCCTGTCCCTCTATGTTATAAAGCTACTGGAAGGAATGGTAAGCTGTAACAGGTGAAGAAATCAGAACACAGGCTGGCGTGGTGGCTCCTGCCTGTAATCCCTAGAACTTCGGGAGGCTGAGGCAGGTGGATCACCTGAGGTCATGAGTTTGCGATCAGCCTGGCCACATGGTAAAACCCCATCTCTACTAAAAATACAAAAATTAGCCGGGCATGGTGGTGGTACATGCCTATAGTCCTGGCTACTAGGTAGGCTGAGGCAGGAGAATCGCTTGAACCCAGGAGGCGGAGGTTTCAGTGAGCTGAGATTGCACCACTGCACTCCACACTGGGAAACAGAACAAGACTCCGTCTCAAAAAAAAAAAAAAAAATGAAATCAGAACACAGGAAACAGGATAGTTAGACACTCGAGCAGTAGTAGATCTGTCATTCAATCCAGCAATCCACTGCTGGGCATCTACCCAAAAAGAAAATAAGCCATTATATGAAAAAGATACTTGTGTACAACATATGTTTATAGCAGTGCAATTCACAATTGCAAAGATGTGGAAGCAGCCTAGGGGTCCACTGACTGACGAGCAGATAAAGAAAATGTACCTGTGAACTGTGGAATACTATTCAGCTGTTCAAAGGAAAGAAAGATGTCTTTTGCAGCAACTTGGATGGAGATGGAGACCATTATTCTAAGTGAAGTAACACAGGAGTAGAAAACCACAAATTGTATGTTCTCACTTGTAAGTGGAAGCTAAATTATGAGTACACACAGGCATACAGAGTGATATGATGGACTTTAGAGATTCAGAGCAGGAGAGTGGCAGGGTTGCGAGGAATTAGTTATAACACTACTTGGAAAAATGGGTGGGGTGCTAAAATCTGAGAATTCACCACTACATAATTCATCACTATCACAAAAAAACACTGGTACCTCAAAAGCTACTGAAATAAAAATGTACAAATGTTAAAGGAGACTTTTTCCTCATGATTTTTTTTTTTTGAGACGGAGTTTCACTCTTGTTACCCAGGCTGGAGTGCAATGGCGCGATCTCGGCTCACCACAACCTCCGTCTCCTGGGTTCAAGCAATTCTCCTGCCTCAGCCTCCCGAGTAGCTGGGACTACAGGTGTGCGCCACCATGCCCAGCTAATTTTTGTATTTTCAGTAGAGACGGGGTTTCACCATGTTGACCAGGATGGTCTTGATCTCTTGACCTTGTGATCCACCCGTCTCGGCCTCGCAAAGTGCTGGGATTATAGGCGTGAGCCACCGCACCTGGCCTCCTCATGATTTTTAATTAAAAAGGACAAAGTAGGCTGGGCATGGTGGCTCATGCCTGTAATCCCAACATTTTGGGAGGCCAAGGCAGGAGGATTGCTTGAGACCAGGAATTTGAGATTAACCTGGACAATACAGTGAGACCCCTTCTCTACCAAACAAAACAAAACAAACAAGCAAAATTAGCCAGGTGTGGTGACACACACCTATATTTCCAGCTACTCAGGAGGCTAAGGCTGGAGGATCACTTGAAGCCAGAAGGTCAAGGGTGAAGTGAGCCATGATCACGCCACTGCACTCCAGTATGGGTGACACAGCTAGACCCTGTCCCTTTAAAAAATAAAAATAAAAAGACAAAGCAGAGAATGTTATCTTCCTACAAGAATCACAGACAGGAGGAGGAACACAAACTAAATTTATCTTAGCCAGTCAGCAATCCAAGGTCAGGGAAAGGCAGCTTTCCTTTGAGATGATTCCTTACGTGATTGTCTTAAAAGTCACGCTTTGGTGACTCCAAGGTATTGGAAAAATAAGCAGCCCCCGACCCCTTCTGGTTGTGGGCCTATGTTTACCATGCCTGACCTCACTGCAATCCCACAAAGGTAGAGGCTACCATTGCCATTATAGAAACGAGAATCGAACTGTAAATTATCTGTGACTCAGGGAGGGCAGTGAAGCCCCCAGGCCCTTGGCAGGAAGTGATGGGGTACAGGAGGGACCCTTCAGCCACAGCTCTGTGGAGCAGGCCTTATCTCTTTCTCGGCTCTCCTCCTGCCCTGGCCCCTTCCTGGCTGTCCCAGAGCCATGACGTGCCCTCAGCAATTCACATCCATCTCCCCCTCTTCCCTTTAGGCCTTGCTCAGGCCCTGGGGACTGATACTGCTTCAAGCACAAAATGAGTCAAGTTTTTTGGTAGGATGGGTGTTTTTAGAGCTCTGGGATTCTCCTTGCCCGAGTTTTGAACTCAGGGATGTCTGGTGACGGCATCTGAGAATCACAGCCCTAGAAGGCAGGGTGAGCATGCTGCTGCATGGGCCAGCCACACTCTCCAGCCTCGGGCTTGGCTGGGCCCAACTCACCTGGTTGGCCTGCCCAGGCCCATGGGCTGCCTCCAGGGCCTTGTACAGCCCCTCCGACATCAGCACCAGGAAGCCAGTCACCCCATCCAGTGGCTGTGCCCCATGAATTTCAGGCTCTGCGATGATTGGTTTGGACTTGGCAGCGCTATGGAGAGAGAGTGGAGGGAAGAGCTTTGCTTGGAACAGCCCCCAGGTAGATGTGGTTCTGCTGAGGGGAGGAATCTATACCCAGAATGTAAAATAAAACACATAACCCAACAAAAGGAAAAGAAAGAGAGAAATAGGTGGAGAGAAAAACAGACCCATCTTCTTATAGCAGCTGCTAAAATAAAACTTGGAGGACGACAAAAACTGGCAGGCAGCTGAGGTCAGGATGGCAAAGGTTGAATGCCTGATTCTGGCCCGTTCCATACATCCTGTCTACAGGGCCTGGTGGTGGCAGGGCAGGGGGTGGGACAGCATGAGGGCTAGGTTATCCCTGGGAGCCCACTCCTCTAAGAGGGCAGGGTTATCCTTGGGGCCCAGTCTCTAAGAGGGCAGGGTTATCCTTGGGAGCTCACTCCTCTAAGAAGGTGGGGTTATTGCTCAGAGCCCACTCCTCTAAGAGGACGGGGTTATTCTTGGGAGCTCACTCCTCTTGCTATCACTTGAGCTCCTCCAAAACAGGTGACTGAGATCCCAAATACTCTCCATGTGCAAAGGGATCTGTTAGTGACTGGGTCAGAGTCATTACACATCAGCACATGTGTGTGCACCTTGTACACCACCGAGGAGGTGCTGGCAACACAACCCAGAAGAGCGGAGTCTAAGAACTTCCCGACGGTCCATCAGCCAGGGCTGGGTTCTGGCAGCTGTTACTACACAGAATAAGCCAGTCTAACTGCAGGCGTGCAGAATAAAGGGATGGGCACCTTTAATGACAGCAGTGAGGGGTGTGTAAATGTATCTCCAAACTCATCAAGTTATATGCATGAAATATGCACAGTTTGTGTAGGTCAATTACACCTTAAGGTTTAAAAAAAAAAAAAAGAAAGAAAGAAAAGAGGGAAGGACACTTGGCAGGATACGCCAGAACCTGGGTGTTCTGAAAAGGAAGCTGGCTCCTCGGCTCCATGACACACACACACACACACACACACACACACACACATGCACCCCATGTGTGTATATATACATGTGCACAGAGATTTGGGGGCAGGATACAGAAGAAACTAGCAGCCTCTGGGGAGGAAGTGAGTCCTAGAGCTTGGGGTAGGAAGACTTCCTTTCCCTGTATAGACCCCAGCACTGTCCCAAGTGTTTCAAGAATGGATGTACTTTGGCTGGGGGCGGTGGCTCAAGCCTGTAATCCCAGCGCTTTGGAAGGCTGAGGCGGGTGGATCACGAGGTCAAGAGATCGAGACCATCCTGGTCAACAAGGTGAAACCCCGTCTCTAATAAAAATACAAAAAAATTAGCTGGGCATGGTGGCGTGTGCCTGTAATCCAAGATACTCAGGAGGCTGAGGCAGGAGAATTGCCTGAAACCAGGAGGCGGAGGTTGCGGTGAGCTGAGATCGCGCCATTGCACTCCAGCCTGGGTAACAAGAGCGAAACTCCGTCTCAAAAAAAAAAAAAAAAAAAAAGAATGGATGTACTTTCCAATAAAGGAAACAGAACCACACAAATTAGGGACAAACATTCCAAACTCAATTGCCTGGATGGTGTGAGGGCCTGGAGTTTTAACGTGCACTTTCCAGACCGTGACGCCTGACTTCTGCTGATAGGAACTCTGGCTTTGGGAATAGCCCTGGCCACGACAGTAAATGCTGTGATTGGCATCACACAAGCAGATGTGCCTATATCCCCAACCAACACCTCGCATACAGGTTAGCCGGTGGTTAAAGACACATATTCGAAATTCAGGCTGCCTGAGTTCCAGCCCCATGACCAGGGTGGGCTGCCTGATGTCTTCATGCCTCAGTTTCTTCTTACAAAAATGCCTCTGGGGTGATAGCAGTGCCCACCTCAGGGGGCCTGAGTAGGGAGTGCATAAAGCAGATATGTCCCGAGCTCTGTACAGGCTTGGCACAACAAAGCCTCCTCATGATGACATCCCATTTTGCTGCCATGAGCACTGGGGTGATGCCCAGAGGAGGTGTCCTCAGAGGGAAACACACAATTCATCTCATACCTCTGCTGCAGCCATGGGTAGCACCAACCAACAGGCCTGGTCTGTCCATCTCATGCCAACTCTGGCTTCCCCTGTCTCCCCTGTGGAACTGGTTGCTGCCCTCAGCTTTGGCCCTGCTCCCCAACTCTACCCCTTGTCTCTACAAGACCCAACTCCTGGCCTGCTGGGTTTAACCTGCCCCAAAGCAGCCTCTCTGGAGGAAGAAAGTTTGCTTGGGCTCTGAACTACTTTGACTGCACGTCTGTTGCTGGGGCCTACAGTCTGCATCTGGCCTAGGCCTTCTGGACTTCTTTTTTTTTTTTTCTTTGAGACAGGGTCTTGCTCTGCTACCTAGGCTGGAGTGCACTGGCATGATCACGGCTCACTGTAGCCTCAACCTCCTGGCACAATCAATCCTCCCACCTTGGCCTCCCTAGTACTTCTGGTCTTTCAAGCACAGGGGGCAGCTGGGCTGGACCTACCTGAGAAGGTCAATGTCCGTGTAGCCATATTTGACCTTGTAATCCCCGATGCGCCGGGTGCTTTCCTGCCCACAGATGATCCCCACCTGCTTGATCTTCCCGGCGTCCAAGCCTACAGAGGGAAACAATGCAACAATCTGCTCCTTGTTCACAAACAGGAACAAAAAGAGGGGGACAGAGACACGGCCATGGGAAGAAGGCAATAAAGACCCACTGAATAGGAAAAGAAGACAACGCCGGGGTGCCTGGGAGAGCAGCTGACCCAAAGCCCCTGATGTCCTCGGTCCCCATGCCCATTAGAACACGCCTCACTCAGAGGCCCTCCTCCAGGCACTGCCCGGCATGGAGCAGTTTACCTGCATCTCCCTGCCTATCCTGTGTGCCCCATGTCTGCCTGGAGCTCCCTGGGAAGAGAAGGGGCAGCTCTGCAGCAGCCGGGCTCCCTGGACTTCTTTGGTCTCTTTCCGTCTCCACCAATAAGTACATGTCTCCTGTGTGCCAGGCACTGCAGGATGCATTTCACTTCACTAACTGAATCCTCCTAGTACCCTGAGGTAGGTTACTATGTCCTACACAGGGTGGAAACTGAAGCACAGAGTAAGTTCCAACTTGCCAACCAGAAAGCAGCAGAGCTGGGATTGAACCCCAGGCAGGCTGGCCCGGGAGCCGAAGGTCACAGTCCCTTTACTATATGCCTTGCTACCCCACCACCAGAGGGAGGTAAAAGGTGAGCCCACGGGATCAGCTCCTGCTCCCACTGACCCCTCGGGCAGGCATTCTCCCCACTCACCCAGCTGTGAAAGGCGGAAGAGCTCATCCTCGTTTTCCGTGGTGTGGTCCACATTCAGCTGTGTCACCTGCAACCCATCCACCGTCGATTTGCATAAAAGTGCACGGTTTGTACCTGCGGCAGAATGTGAACAGTTAAGCAAAGACCAAGCACAGAGAGAAACAGGACATGCTGGGAAGACAGAGAGAGAAGAGGCAGGCATCTCACACGTGGAAATACCCAAAAAGGGCAAAACAGGCTCAGACCAAGAGGGTGAGTCATCAATTAGGGACAGTTGATGATATGAAGAAATTGGGTTTAACTTTTTCAGTGTAATCATAGGATTATGATCTTAATCAAACAGTGAGACGAGATCGTACCACTGCACTCCAGCCTGGGCGACAGAGTGAAACTCGGTCTCTAAAAAAAAAACCAAACAAACCAGACCTCTTCTCTAGAGATATAGACTGAAATATTTACAGATAACATGACACAATGTCTGGTGTTTGCTTCAAAATAATGAATGTGAGGACAAAAGGCCACAGATAAAAGAAGGCTGGCCACAGTTGGTAACTGCTGAGGTTGGGGATGGGCACATGAACGTTCATTAAGTATCAGTCACTCTATTGTTTTACATTGTGGAAAATTTCCCATTAGAGTATTAAAAAAAAGACAGCATCATCAGAAGGGCCTCTACAGAGTTCTTCCTACTGTAACCTGCACCTGTCCAGCCTTCTCACAAACTCCAATGTCCCTGTCACCTAGCCCCATCTTGCAGCTGTTTATGGAGATGCTGGTTGGTGTTTCATGGCCAGGTAACCTCTTCCAGATGCAGTGGCCAAGACCACCCAGAATGGGATGTGACTCATCCAGAATGAGTTAGAGGCAGAAGAGGGACTAAAGGCCAGGATGCCTGCCTCCCATCCCGTCCCTTCTCCCTTACAGCTGGGACTGAGGCATCACTATGGAGAGGGACATACAAATGGCCTCAGGAAACCCCAGGTCTAAAGTGTGTGAAGCATCGGGAAGCAGATTGTCAGATCACGCACTGACCCCTGCGGCTGGTCTCTCCCCAGCCCTCCCCACCCTGGGACAGGAGGGGGCTCACCGACATTGGCGACGTAGAGCTTGTTGTTGAGAAGGACCGCCACAACAGCCATGGCCCCTCCCGAAATTTCCCTCTCCAACGTCTTGAGTCTCTCCAGGATCTTCTGATACTGAGGAGGCAGTTGGTGCTGAGGGACGCCCTACAACCATCAACAGAGGGGTCAGGGCAGGACAGAACCACCTTGACCATCTCCCCAGCCCTCTCCCTCCCTTTGCTCTTAAGGGCAAAGATCTGAGGGCCCGGAGGACAGACAGACAAGACAGTCCATGGCAGAGCCAGGATGAAGCCTGCGCTGCAACTCCAGGGAAGGTTCTTCCAGGAAAGCCGGAGATGACCTAACTCACAGCACAGAGGTCAGTGCCACAGGTGCTAGTGGGTGGGCGATGTGAGCAGATGGGTGACAAGGGTGGGGACCCATTCAGGTCAAAGGACCGCAAAAAGCTTTCCTCATGCCCACCACTGCCCAGCCAATGCTGAGCTTTAGCATGCAGCTGCCCACAGCAGGGCAGCAAGGTCCCTCACCCATGGCCACCCACCAGTGTTCCCCATGAGAAACTGCTCCCTAACTCCTGCTGCTCTGGCCCAGTAATGTCAAGACAAAGTAGGTAAGTCCATGCTCCTTGCAAAGCTGGGCCTGGACTTTGACTCCTTTGGGTGTGGGCTGGAGAAATTACCTCTGGCAGTTGCGACTGGAGGCTTGCCTTCTCAGCCAAGGCATCGTCAATGGACTCCAGGAAGCTCCTCTCTACCACATCGAAGGCCTGGAGGGACACAGGACAGGGCAAAGACTGGTTCAAAACACCACTGTCACTGGTGCTAAAATGCCCCCTATGAAGAACAGCAACAGGTTCACCGTATTCACTGCAGGTCCTCGTGTGATGGGGCTTTCCACATGTCGGTTTTGCCTCCAGGCCGGCACTGCAAGGCACCAGCTACTTCTTGCAGATCCGTGTCTTTGACAAAGCCCTTCAGCCCCATAGGGGTGCGTAGCCAACAGAGACGGCACTCAGAGTGCTTGGAGGCAGCAGACAGTGCGGAGGCTAAGAGCAAAGGCTTGGAGTAGGCCTAGCTGGAGTGACCTCTGGACACCTCAGTCTCACACAACAGAGGTTAAGTGTTCTGAGGGTAAGTCCAGCCTGGCACTCAGCATGGCACCTGCTCAAAGAAACTGTCAGGACTATGACAGCTCCTATGATTACTACGACTTCTTCCTGGGAGGCTTCTGTCAAACCCTGCTGGCCCCGGGACACTGGTGACACTGACAACTCCCCCTGGGTGTGAGATCTGCTGAGAAGCACTGGCCATGGAGCCTGAGGTCATGAAGGGCAGGAAAAGGCTGGCACCACTGTTCTCTGGGAACAGAAGCCCATCCTCTCATCTAAAATGGGCCTGAGACATGCCAGGAGGAAAATTCCCAACAGCGCAAGCAGGAAGGTGGAACCAGCCAATGACGGCAGCACCCCTCAAAAAGGGGAGGGAAGGTCTTCCCTGAATGCCCAGGTATGCTTCCTGCACCTGGAGGCTGAGCACTTGGCTAGATGGGAAAGAAAGGGATAGCTCCGAATGACTCCATTCTGACCAGGCCTTGCCCTGCTCCTACTTTACACCTCTCTCCAAGCATACATCCCTAAATCCCCCTGTCTCCAGCAGTACCTCCCCTGTCAGCTCTGCCAGCCACTGAAGGCCTGCTGCTTGCTGGCTAGTCCTGGACTCCTGTGGAAGGGGCCCCTACGCTGGGAGCTGCTTCTCTACAAGGGTGAAGGGTCCGGCAGGATCTTCACACCAACCCTGGCAACATGCTAGAAGTGCAAGGCCCAGGCCCTGGGGGTGGGGGACACGATGGAGTCAGGTTACTGCTAGCCCCAGCACCATTACCTGCAGCAGCACACGCCGCACGTCGGCCTCAGCATGCTCAGCATTCAGCTGGCCCAGGAGGAGCTCCGCGGACAGCCGCTGGGCCACGAAGTTGGTCACTCGGTTGCCATCGTAGCCGTTGAAGACCCCATACAGGAAGCAGTTGTTCTCACTTCTGGCAATGGGAGAGGGCAGAGGGAGGACTGAGACCAGGGTCTCACACAGAGGTAGAAGGAGAAAGAGAAAGGAATTGGAGGAGGCTAAAGCTACAGCGGCTGCAGCTTCAAGCACCGACCTGGGTCCCCCTACTTTGGGCATCATTTCACTCTGGGAGCTATGACCTTCTGGGATACTCGTCCCCATGCTCACGCTACCCCATCAGAGCAGGCCCTTGGCTGGTCTAAAGTCCAGCAGTATAAAGGACAGCAGCAGAGGCCACCTCCCTCCCACAGGCCACATCTCACTGGCAAGCCCATATGAGACAGCTGCAAAGTCAGTGTCTTTCCTTGCTTGCAAACTAACCAATTCCCTGGGCCCAGGACCAAAATGCTGGCACACACACCTGAACTTGAGCCAGCTGTCCTCTGGCGGGTGGCTCTCGGTACCCTTGCCATCAGCAGAGTAGCTGCGGTTGGAGGCTGAGCCAACCCCAGAGAGGTGGCAGAGCGGAAGGTCGTCTGTCCAGCTTGGCTGCTGCTCCTGGGGAAGGGCACCAGGAAGCCGTGAGGTACCACTGCTTCTGCAGGGTAGACCCCACTTCATCTTTTTCTTCTGCAACAAAAACCTAGTGGGCCAGCAGCCCTACACGGAGAGTTCCACTTCCTTTGGGAAAACAATGATGTTTGTATGAACAGACACCTGCAGAAGGGTTTGCTGTTTTTATGGCTAGTCTACAAACTAGTTCCCCAGGAAAATGGAAAGAATCCAGCATTCCCAAATGCAAGGCGCAGCAATGGCCTCCAGGAGTGAGCTGTTATGAAACCTAGTGAAACACATACAAAGGTCGCAAACTCTTGACAGGAAACTCTTTGGGGCCCCCACCTCTTACTGCACTGGCTCCAAATGCACACTGCAAAGGAATCCCTTGGGCACTGGTTGTAACTACAGGCTGCAGGCCCCACCGTCAGAATGACTGATCTGGGCAGGGCCCAGGACATCTGCAGCACAGGCCGCTCCCCACAAGTGATGCTTTCAGGTGACCTAAGATCCACCCTAGAGAAACTCTGACTTGTCACTCTCTCTGGCACTGGGGCTCCAAGTACCAGGGAGAGTGACTGAGACTGGCTTATAAGTCGGAGTTTATGGGCTAGTTTGTAAGACATCCTCAGGCCACCCTGACGTCCTCTCCCATCTCCCCTGCCACATCCTTCTCTCCCAGTCCCAAATGCCTGCAGGCCTGTCCATCCCCTGCTCTTTGCCTCCATGTGAACATCCTCCTTCTTCTTGCCTAGCAATTCTCCAGGTCCTTCAGGACTCTCTGGCTCAGGAGTCACCACCTCCAGGAGGTCTGCCTTCATGATGACCCTCCCCAGGACTGGCTGATGGCCCTCTCACGTACCCTGACTGCACCCTGATCCCAGCACCCTGGCCTGTCTGCAACACCCACTCCACCCCCGAAGATCTCAAACCAGGCTGTTCAGCATAATCACTGCAGAGCTTTAAACACACTCACACACAGGCCCCGGCCCCTGCCCAAACACAAACTCTGAATTTCCCAATCTCCCTAGTGTACACCCTGAGCATCTGTATTTTTTTAAGGCCCAGGAACTACTTTGATGCAAGGCCCAGGTGCAATTTCTTGCCCCAGATCTGGCCTCCCACCTGAGAAGTGTGCCTTGTTCACAAGGGCACTCCCAGGACCATCATGTGGAACTAGAGCAAACTGGAATAACTGGGAGAACCACAGCAATTTCGAAGAAAGTAAAATTTGTATTGGCTGGGTGCAGTGGCTCACACCTGCAATCCCAGCACTTTGGGAAGCTGAGGAGGGTAGACCATTTGGTGTCAGGAATTTGAGAACAGCCTGGCCAACTTGGTGAAATCCCATCTCTACTAAGAACACAAAAAAAGCCAGGTGTGGTGGCAAATGCCTGTAATCCCCCCAGCTACCGAGGAGTCTGAGGCAGGAAAATAGCTTGAATCCAGGAGTCAGAGGTTGCAGTGAGCTGAGATCATGCCATTGTACTCCAGCCCGGGCGACAAGAGTGAGAGTCCGTCTCAAAAAAAAAAAAAAAAAAAAAAAAAACTGTATTAAAAGTTTTATTGAAATATTAAACGAACACAAGCTAGATCAATCAGATAGGAGAAAGAAACCAAGGGCATCCACATTGGCAAAAAGATGTTAAATGATCCTTATTTGCAGGTGACATAATCTTGTACTTGGAAAAACCTAGACTCCACCAAAAAACTATTAGAATCGATTAAACAAATTCAGTAAAGTTGCAGGATATGGAATCAACATACAAAAATCAGTAGTATTTCCATATGCCGACAGTGAAGAATATGAAAAAGAAATCAAACACATACAGATACTGGGTGTACCTTCTTACAAGTTATTGTTAACAGTCTTACAGAAACGATGTGGAAATTGCTTCAACAGGCTTTTGCAATATAAAAAAAAAAAAAAAAAAAAAAAAGCCAGGCTGGGTGCAGTGGCTCAAGCCTGTGATCCCAGCACTTTGGGAGGCCGAGGCGGGTGGATCACGAGGTCAAGAGATCGAGACCATCCTGATCAACATGACGGGGTGAAACCCCATCTCTACTAGAAATACAAAAAATTAGCTAGGCATGGTGGCGCGTGCCTGTAATCCCAGCTACTCAGGAGGCTGAGGCAGGAGAATTGCCTGAACCCAGGAGGCGGAGGTTGCGGTGAGCCGAGATCGCGCCATTGCACTCCAGCCTGGGTAACAAGAGCAAAACTCTGTCTCAAAAAAAAAAAAAAAAAAGCCTGTGGTTAGCTTTTGTGGCAAACTGTAGCTTCTGTTAGTCATATACTGACAGGAATGACTTCATTTTTTTTTTTCATTTTAATTGCTTTTATTCTGCATTTATCTATTTTGGTGCTTTAGTTCTACATTTTGCACCCTGGAGCAACTTTGCAGGGTGTGGGAGTTTGTTTTATTTTTAAATTAACATGGAGTAAAACTGGCTTTTGGGGCATGCACATCTATGAATGCTGACACATGCAGAGATGTGTGTAACTACCACACTCTCAGGATACAGGGCAGCTCCACTTCCAACGCACTCCCTTCCCTAATCCCTAGCAACCTGTTTCCCACTGCTCTGGCTTTGTCTTTATAAGTATGTCATATTAAAGGCCAGGTGCAGTGGCCCACGTCTGTAATCCCAGCACTTTGGGAGGCCAAGGGGGGTTGACCACTTGAGGTCAGGACTTTGAGACCAACCTGGCCAATGTGGTGAAACCCTGTCTCTACTAAAAATACAAAAATTGGCAGGATGTGGTGGTGCACACCTATAATTCCAGCTACTTGAGAGGCTGAGGCATGAGAATCACTTGAACCAGAGAGGCGGAGGTTGCCATGAGACAAGATTGCACACCACTGCACTCCAGCCTGGGTGATGGTGTGAGACTCTGTCTCCAAAAACAAAAAAGAATGTCACATAAATGAAATGATGCACTAAACATAACCTCCTGAGACTGGCTTTTTTCACTCAACATTATGTCTCTAAGAATCATCCAAGTTGCTGGCTTGTGTACACCAATAGTCTGTTTCTCTCTTTTGCCGAGTAATATACCATTGCTCGGATGTGGAATAGTTTGTTTATCCATTCATCTACTGAAGGACACTTGGGCTGTTACGTTTTTTGCAACTACGAAGAGATGGGCTATAAACATTCATGTACAGGTTTTTGTATGAACGTAACTTCATTTCTCCTGGATAAATACCTAGGAGTGAGATTGCTGGGTCATATGGCAAGCATATGTTTAACTTTGCAAGAACCTGTCAAACCGTTTTCCAGAGCAGCTGAACCATTTGCATTTTCAGTGTTGAGTTCCCGTTGCTCCACATCCTCGCCACCACATGGTATTGTCTCTTCCTTTTTCTTAATTTAGAAATTCTAAGAGGCGGTAGTGGTATCTCATCATGGCTTTAATCTGCACTTCCTAATGGCTAACGATGCTGAGCATCCTTTACGTGCTTATCTGGCACCTACTCACCCTCTCTGGTAAAGCGCTTGTTTCAGTTTTTTGCCCATTTTAAAATTATTTTCTCAACTATTGCGTTCTGAGAGTTCTATTTGTAGCTTAGCATTTCATTCACATAGTAGTGTCTTTTGCAGAGCAAAAGATTTTAGTTTAGATGAAGTCCATCTAATAATTTTTTTTTTCTCTTTCATGGTTGATGCTTTTGGAGTCATGTTCAGCCCCAGGTCACAAGAAGCTCCTATGTTTTCTTCTACAAGTTTTATAGTTTTATATTTTACATTTAGATCTGTGATCCATTTTGAATTAATTTTTGTATAAGGTAGGATAGAGGTTTAGGTTCATTTCATTTTTTTTTTCATTCTGATATCTAATCATTCCAGTACCCTTTGCTGAAAAGACTAGCTTTTCTGCATTGAATTGTGTGGGTTTACTTCTAAACTCCATTCTGTTCCTGTGATCAGCATGTCTACCCCTCTGCCGATACTATATTCTTCATTACTGTAGCTTTATTATAGTAAGTTTTAAAATTGGCTGGTATGATTCTTCTAGCTTTATTGCTCTTTTTCAAAATTGTTTTGTCTGTTTGAGTTCCTTTGCCTTGTCATATAAATTTTAGAATTAGCTTGCTTATATCCACAAGGCTTGTTGGGATATTTATTGGAACTGTTTTAAATCTACAGATCAATCTGGGGAGGGCAGACATTGTCCCTATGTTGAATCTTCCAATTCATTAACATGGTGTATCTCTACACTTATTTATGTCTTCATTAGATGACTTTTATTTTTATTAACACAATATTACGAGGTCTGAAAAGCTACTAATGCCTTCTAATAGCCCTTGAAAACAGGTAATATAACCAAAATCTACTAATGGAAATGGGAAAAAAAAAAAAAAAAAAAAAAAAAGAGATGAAATGGCAGTAAGTGCTAACTGAACCCAGTGTGTCACAATCATATCAACAGGAAAAAAAAAAAAAAAAAAGGCCGGGCTTGGTGGCCCACACCTGTAATCCCAGCACTTTGGGAAGCTGAGGAGGACGGATCACCTGAGGTCAGGAGTTTTGAGACCAGCCTGATCAACATGGAGAAACCCTGTCTCTACTAAAAACACAAAATTAGCAGATGCGGTGTTTCATGCCTATAATCCTAGCTACTCCAGAGGCTAAGGCAGGAGAATCGCTTGAACCCAGAAGGCAGAGGTTGCAGTGAGCCCAAATCACACCATTGCACTTCAGCCTGGGCAACAAGAGCAAAACTCTGTCTCAAAAACAAAAAAGCAAGTTGGAAAGGGAAATAATAAGAGCTGAAATTCTGCTCAGCTCCTCATGACACCAGGAATTTAACACTTTCAGTTCAAGCAATGTCAAAAGAAAAACTACTGGCCCAACAAAGTGGCTCATGCCTGGAATCCCAGCACTTTGGGTGGCTGAGGTGGGTGGATCACTTAAGGTCAGGAGTTTGAGACCAGCCTGGGCAACATGGCAAAACCCGATCTCTACTAAAAATACAAAAATTAGCCAGGTGTGGTGGT